TCACAATAATACGATATTCATATTAATTATTATTAACGAAGTGAGTGTCTATAATATCGAACGCACCACTTACACGCGGCCCGATGATAGAAATGCACAAATTAATTATTTATTTAATCGATATAGGTATAATATTATTTCTATTAATCGACTGGCTCGTTACGCGAAAGAGGGCGCACCACGTCTTCACCGCCATATCCGCGCCGTTGTTTGTTATTTGCGTTTGCCCTAAACAAATAAGCCATTCAATTACTCGAAAGATGAATCGAAAACAAAACGGAACATCGGGAAATATATGTTTTGAATTATTAACTTTGTTTCACTAACCACGTGATTAGACTATTAGAGAGAAGAATAATTAAAGGTCTACGTTACGTTTTCACTATAATATAATATACATTATGTGAACAGTTTGAAAATAATGATATTTTTTATGGTTAAGCGTTTTCGAATTTGAGTGATATAGGTAACATGTAATAAAAGGAAATTATTTTACTCGGTTTAATGAATATGACGTGAAACGAGTGAAAAGATTTGAGTTTTGGTATTAAGAGATAAAATACATTCATGTATTACATTCAGTTTATAATTTAGCTACTTTATAGGTAACCTACCCACCTAAATTATTGTTGAATTCAAATGTTGGTATTGTATGAAAAGTAATCATATACCTTCGTATAAGTGGGTTATGAATTTATGATCTACTTGAAATATATTAAATAATGTGCCATTAGCTTCATTGCAGTATCTATTATATTTTAACTGGAGCTTAAACCTCGACCTTAAAAGCAATAACGTTTGAAGTTTTCCTTGAAAAAATAAATACTAAATAAAATATAAACCAACATTAAAAAAGGAAATGTGTGTTTTTTTTTTAGCAAAGACCTTACGTTATATATATGGTCTGTAGAACATTCTTAATTAGTGAATTGTAATTTATAATAATAATATAGATTTTGGTATGGATAATGTGTGGCTTTAGCAGAGGTCTCCTTATTTTATTTTAATTATTTATTGCCAAACAATATTTTTAACTTAAATATTTCACATAAAAAATCAAATTATTTATTAAAAAGTATTATCTTTACCGGCATTGCGTGTTTGATTTACAATAACATTAATTTTCTATTCACCCTCGTAAATACATTAAATATCGTTGAAAATAAACCGATGAGCGTTTAGTAATAAATTTCCGGATATTCTTGTAGAGAATAATAATATAATAATAATTTTTGCTAATAAAATGAATAAATTCGTGTATGAAACAATATTTATTATAATAATGTATGATTTAACGTAAGTTTAACACTATTTTACTATATGTACATTATGTATAGCGTATAAACTATGTATATATTCAACATAAATTTAAGATTATTACGATGAGCATTATGTAATAAGCGGGTTATGTGCGTATAATATATCATATCACACAACACGTATTCATAAAATAAAAACTTGCAAAGTTACTCGTTGTGCGAATTAATTGCACGATTTTATTTATAGACAGGCTAATAATAATTGTATGGTCATATAATAATGTATTTCGAGGTTTAATTTTTGCCGAACGTATCGTATTATGTCTTAGTATTTCGAACACGAATTCGTTGTCCGTGTAATAAAAGCCGTTAATCATTATTTTTCGAAATTGCTCCAACGGAACACTACTCACCTAGCTATATAGGACCGGGGAAATGACGAACTCAGCATTTTACCGGCAAGCTCGTATATTAAGGGCATCAGATAATAATAACGGTTATGTCTGAAAATTTCCGACGAATAATGTGCGGCCGTATGGGATATTCATCGAACTATCTTGTGCCAATTTATTTTCATAAAACCCTTTTCGTTGCCGCTGGTTTCATAACACACACGGACGTTTGTGTTGTCCAGATTATAAATAATCGTTTGTAGACATATGTTGTTAGTAAAACAATGGCTTTTCATGAAAATTTCAATCGAGATGCCGGACATCGTTGAAATATAATATTATTATTTTACAATAAGAACAATTGTATTTTTGTATACTAACGATAAGTCAAATATAATTTTATTTTTATTACCAGCTATACCTGACGCAGTTTAGTGTAGATGATACGTAATACACACTTAACAACACCATAAACATATTATGTAATTATAATATCTTTATTCTAAAGGATTCCATTTGGTTTTAATTTTGTTTTTACACATTAACTATGTTTGTTGGGTTAGATTCAGAGGCGGACTGGGAGTGTAAATCGGCTCCGAAAAACTTGTATAATCGGGTCAACTATCTATGTTATCTTTTATGGGTGAAATCTAATGAAATAAGTTAATTTCATAATGAGCACTAAAATCAATCATCAGCATTTAGTTGCATTCAGATCCATTTTTGTTTTTCATTAGGCAATAGAAAATATAGCCTAAATATTATATTAAAAAAATAAAATAATTTTTGATTTATATAAATACGAATTGTTTAGAAAGAAATCTCACAGGTTCATAGAAAAATTATTATCTACATCTCATGTACAGCTTCTGTGCACTTCCCGTCGATTTGACAAATTTACATTGAAATTGAATTCACACAGATAAAACATAATACTATTTCAACCACACAAAACACGGTAATATTACAATATTATGCATTTATGCACCTATATGACTAATAAAGGGAACAATGGAATATAATTCTAATAATAAAGTATATATAAATGCCCATCAACGATTCAATAAGTTATTTTATGTTTGTAAAATATGTTTATTTTTATTAAAGTTGTTTACTTCTAGATTACAAAGAAAAGACTAAGTGTATATTGTATTATATTTTCTATGTACCCATTGTACTTTTTACACTTACTTCAGTTCATATAATAACAGAGATTACGTTATTGATATTTTATTTAATGTGTCAATAATAATAATTACCTATTAGGAAACTTTGTAATTAAACACAATTTGATTGTACAAATATTTTTTTTGTTTTTGAATAGTTGTAAACATACAATGTAATGATTTATCAACGTCCAATCGATTAATCAAAACATGTTACAAAGAGTCGTCGTCCTTTGAATAACAAAATAACAGAAGTAGTTCGCCCAACTTCTAAGCAATTTGTTTAGGTACTGTAACGTTTAAAATCAATATATTATACAATCTAACCCTACAAACATAGTTAATGTGTAAAAACAAAATGAAAACCAAATAGAATCCTTCAAAACTACTCGTTAATCACAGCAGAACTAAAGTACTTAATATTATACAAAACATTCATTTACACATTGACAGGGGTATTATTTGAGTTTTAAAAGACTTGGCAAATGAGCTAGTGATTTTGGCAAAACATCCAACGCCGGTATATAGTCAATTATTCCAAGTGCAATTACAATCAGAATTAATTTTGTGCCAACAGACCAGAACTACCCATTTCGGTTTAATTTATACTTAAAAATAAAATATTATGAAATATAGACGAAGACATGAAGTAATTACTTTTAAAAATAATTTTAGATAATAATTATTATTTTAATTTGTTTATTTACTATATGTACAAACACACAATTATTTATTTTCATTTTATATTTTACACTACAAATACACTATTATGTTTCTTTAAAGTCCCATGTTTTCATCTAGTTAAAAAAAATAATAAACATTTATGTTAATCTTAATTTTTATTCAGTCAGTAAACCGACTTATAGGTTATTAACGCTAATCACATAAAATAGTGCAAAATGTTTATAACTTAATAATATACACACACAACTCATCAGGAAAATTCGACTCAAACATATTATCAAGAGCACTTGAGTTAATCTTAATATGCACTCTTCATTAAATATCAATGTACACAGGCTACCCATTTTTGTTTTAAGATCTATTCGAAGATTATTTAAATGATTAATACTGAATACCATTTTCTGCATAAGTGGTCAGATGTAGAGTAGAAGCGATACATCAGTGAAACAAATGAATAAACCGATATTGAGATCGTACCCTCGCAGTGTGAATTTTTTACTATTTTTTTTTTCAAATTTACCTACAGAACCGAAACGTACAGACTAATGTTAATATAATAATGTGTATTGTTCGCTCAACTTCCTTTTGAACGTTAAGTAAACGCATTATCAAATCATGTTCAATGTGTGCGAGACTCGGAGAAACGTTTCGAGGATATCGATTTGCTTACACATTGCGTACGAAATATTCACACAATCACTTTAACATGACACTTTTGTGCTTATGTGGATATTGTTGTTCGTGACATATTGAGGGACAGGGAATACATAGTGATGGCTGGTCGTGAGAAATTTCATGTTACATACTATGCACTATTATCCCGCATGTTCTCGCAAGATGGTTTTCCATACAAAAGAAACACAATAAGTGGTTAAATATTATATATGCAGCAGTATAATAATATAAATAGTTCTAATAACAAAACAAACGAAGTCTCTTAAAACAATGCATTATATTGGAATACTTGTTGGTACTTGCAGGACTGGCCAGGGTGAATACCTTCATATTATGTATTGTGAAAATCGCCGGACCGGACCGATGCAAATTGGAGCTAATTTCATATTATATATTGTTTGGGGGTATTTCGTGTGATATTCAGTAATAACTTATTGGTAGTGTCCCTTACTATAGTGACTAGTAATGACTTACCTACCCATTGATACTAATTCAATAACATAATGACTTGAGTTTATTTTTAAATTATTATTTGACGTTACCCCTTCGGTAGCAAATGCAAGAAGTATATACCGCAGACATCTATTTATATAAGGATTAGAAATTCAACATAAATTATTATGATAAGGTATTCACGATACTGATTATAGTTTAAAGATATGTCTGTTTAATAAATTTTTCTGAAGCATATAATAAATTTTTTTTTTTAAGTTCTATAATTTGTGTTTATAGTCTAAAAATGCGTGTATTATTGGAAATTAGAATAATTATTTCGTTAAATTATTGATACAATTAATCATATATTTTATTACTTTTTGTTTTAGGAAATTCAGATGGAATGTATCACATGAAAATTTTAATTCCTTGTATAACTGCTGGTGCCATCATTGGTAAAGGCGGGGAAACAATTGCACAGCTACAAACAGAGACCAATACTAAGATAAAAATGTCAAAAACAAACGATTTTTACCCTGGTAAGTTGATAATATGGTTACTTATTTAATATTATTTGCATAAAAAATCTTGTTTAGGCGGTATATACATTGTTTATAATTTATGCAGTTCAAATGTAACATTATTTTTAATTCGGTAATAATACATATTTATATTCAGCATTCGCCTTTTACATACCATTTACGGTCCGCACACTATTGTTATTTCTGTGTAAAAAATCTGTCATTGAAGTAATATTTTATATTTTATTCAACCCAGAGACATCAATACAATGGTTTAGTTAGTGACAAATTAGTTGTCACACTGTTGCTAATGAACGAAGTGTTTACTCTTGAATCTAGACGGTGGCAATGTACGTCGAGGAAAATTGAATAATATATTGGGAAAATATGTTTTACGGATAGGTTCCTTCATTTTGAAGTTTCTATAATGTGAATAAGAATCAATTTAATTGTAGTTACAAAAGTATCTTTTTTAATTAAATTGAGCTACAAGGTAAAGGCTAAAATTGTTAATTAAGATACATTACGTATACTCGTATATTTCTCTAATACAAAAGTTGCATTTCTTTACATATTTTACGATTTATTTATGTGTATTTATATTTTTTAAATTGTATTCAATTTTATTGCACATGTTCTATAACATCTTACATATTGCCTATTGATAAAATTAAAATTTAGTACATCGGTTAATTTATATATATACATGTGATTCACCAAACATGCTAACTTTTTTAATAATGCATTTATTAAAATTCAGATTTTTAGAATTTTTAATTATATTCGAGAACTTTATATTTAAAATATCCAATTTTTTTATTCAACATTTAATGAATATTCTGTGACTATAATTTCTGTTTTTCTAATGAAAATCATCCGTTTTTCTGTAAATTATTATTATGATCAATACCAACATACATTTTACAATTAAGGTACACTCGTGACAAATTGTTATGTTTAAAAATCGAAATTTGAATAATTGTTTTTTAGTTAGGCATAGATGTGATAAAACCTTGGTTTTGGGGGCTGTGATAAATTAAAAATGTCAGTAATTAGTATTAATCCATCGGCATTTGATCATCCTCATTATCGTAGGAGTTTAACTGCCACATTTTATAATTTGTAAAAAAAGTACACTAAATACTTAAGTGCTAGATCCAGTATTATATCTATATTTTATAACATTGTAAAGTAATTCTTAACGACTTTTATCCTTAAGATAAAATATATAACTCAGAAATTACTCGTTCTAATTTTGATTTAGAGACATTTTCAAAAAAGGCGATTTGCTTAACAATTTACGTAAAATAAAAATGGTTTTCATTTGAAAAAAAGAAGTAGGTATGCATCTTTTACAGAACACTCCTTGACATTTAAATAAATAGTATACAAATCGACATCATTGAAAATAAGATTCTTACAAGAAGGTACGCACTATACATCAAATTCCAAAAATCAGAATTTGTATAAATTCATTATCAAAGGAAAATATAGGGGGGGGGGTGAGAATATCTTTGGCGGATTACCTTGAATGTATATCTATATATCCTCGTTGTATGTTTATATTTCAATTTTATTTAGGTTCTTCGCTACTTCCTATTTTAAAAATTCAAACATCTCTCCACGTAATAAAACGAATAGTACTGTTATTCAGTCAATTGAATAAGTTCGTGTTTCTCCGTGGACTGAACACTATAATTGAATAAATCCCTATCTTTGAATTGGATGTATCCATATAGGTGTATCCAAGATAGTATATCCCAATTTTCGTAGTTCAGTTAAGAGTTACGTATTTAAGCCTCAGGGATACTTACAAATTGAACGAATCTCACTAGATTGATTTTTAACATTCATATATATTATGTTCTCGCGTAAAATGTTGGATAGCAATCCCCAGATGCCTCACTTAGATACGTATACATTTTATGGATTCAAATTGTCACATAAAAAACCCCAACGAGTTTAGGTATCTAAATAATAGTTTTTATATTGTTATTATTACTATTTTTCCCTCAAAATATCTATTTGAAAAGATAACCTTAATATTGACATGTCAAACGGATATTAGTATAAGTATAACGTCAACTACAATAATTACCTTTATTTTATATTTTTCTATTATTTATTTTAAGAATCTATTGCCTAAACGTATTAAAATATAATAATTCAAATAATTCTATAAAAACTTTAATAATTATTAATGCGATATTAATATTTCTTAACTTATTCTAAGGCAAATGATTATAGTTTGTTTAATGTTAGAACAATTCATATAAAGCTTGAAGTCATGTAGTATTTCTCTAATTTTATTTATAATATTTCATAAAAACATTTTTTTTTCACTTTTATAAAATTGACGAGTGGAATAGAATTGTAGAGAAGTTTTCTCTAAAATTATTGAAAATTAAATATAAATAGGTAGTTTATTCAGTTAGTACCAAGAAACGGGGTTTAAAAATGGTTAAAAGAACATTATTTATATTATACAAATACCGTATAAGTTTCAACCATGGAAAATACCAATTGTACTTTTTTACTATAAAAATATAAACATAAGTTTAAAAAAGAAAAATTATTTTTAAATGTTTGAAGGGAACTCATATAGTCACAAATGCTGGTTTTTAACTTCAAAATTCTGTAAGTTCTAGTGTTCTAATTGAACACTAGGGTCTATTGTTGTATAATTATTATTTAATTTATATTCGATGTTAAACAATTTGTTAACTGCAGAATTACTGAATGTGCTTCTGCACTTCTCACATTTTATTTTTAACCTTTTTAAAATTGACTATATTAGAATATAATTATTATATAACACATTGTTAGGACTAGGTATCGTTTAAATATCAAACGAGGTATATTTTAAGTAATTTAAATTTGTCTTGTTCAATGACATCGTGTCTGGTTGTTAATGTACCGCATAAATAAGGTGTTTAGGTTAGGTGTACATGTATTTGTCATGTGGCATTTTTTCTGACCTTCTACATATATAATAACGTGGCACATTTTACGACCACGGAAGTAGAAGTAAAAACATATCTAGAACAGATATTAATTTTATTACGACTGTTGAATCGTATTGATTTGATATTCAAATTGTTTTGTTTAATAAAATCTGATTAATTAAAAGTGCGTATAGATACTGTGGTTATTGTGCAGGGGACAGTCGAAGAAATTAAAACAGCATGTTCAATGAATTACCATTATGGTTTATGTTGAATGAATAATCGAGTTTTAAAAAAGCTTTGAAACAAAAAGCATTTCATAAAAATGGCTGGAAAATTTAATTTTAAAAATTCCGAAAATTGTTTTTTTTAAGTTAATATTGCTAGAGGTTATAATGAAATATTTTATATACATATAGCGGTCGATAGATATGCCATAATTTTTTTTATTCGAGTTCCTTGAACTTAATGTTAAACTTGCATTATTAATATAATATTGCAATGTAGTAAAACGAAAGTCAAATTGTTTTTTAACAGTCATGAAAGATAAAACAAATTCGCATACATACGCGTATACTTTTTTTAGCCCTTTCCCCTTTTCATTTAGAGCTCCCTTCGATCACTGTATATTATATATCTTCAAATCGAAAACGGAGATTTGGCAACTATTGTATACGTTCAAAGTTGGATAAACGTACTAAGCTTTAAACGGCAAGTATAGGTACATGATACTACAATGCTTTTATACTATAAATAAACTATAAACATAATACGAGTATATCATTAACTGCAAAATCAATAACACCATTGCCATATTCTGATATTCAATATAGTGACCCGTTTATGATTTTCTTATTCATAATAAATAAGATATATATAAATGGTTCGGCAAATCTAACCTTATAGAATCAAATCTTAGTTAAATTATTTTCATATATACGTAGGTGGTACCTAAGTAATTTTTATTTTATATTAACTATACAGATTAGCTAAACATTTATATTTTATTCTTTTGAACTTGAGTTAAGTTTTAACAAATCAACAGTTTTAACATTCATTTTCCGAATTTGTTACTAGTTCCCAACTTTTTAAACCTAAATATATTTTATTTTCAAGCAAAAGTTTTTTTAATTGTGTTTTTTTGTAGAGTTCGCAATATATAAGCGTGCATTTTAGTTCTTTCTTTAAATACTATCTTTTATAAATATCAGAATAAGTTTATTGTTTTTTTTTTTTTTATAAGAATATGTAAATTATTTTCTGCTATAAAATGGATCGAAATGGTTGATAAAGTTATTGACACTTGACACGATTACTAATATACCAATATAATATACCTCTTTATGTTATATTGTAAAGTAGGGTTTTCACGAGAACAATAATATATTAATCCATTCTTCTTGCAATATCTGATATTTGTATTGTTCAGTTAAACAGTGTTATCATGTGGAAACAATATTATAAAATCCATTATTCGATGGATAAAATACAAAAAAACCTTTCAAGTAGACTTCACATAATGGCAGTTACAACGTTACATATTATACAGTACAAGTCGTTTAATTCAGCACTTTTTTTGTAAAATAAACATATTTTTTTGGAGTCTGTTGAGTTTGGCGACATTGTCGCGTGTATACCTCACACTTATTACATAAATAGAGAAATTCCACATGACTTTAACCATTTCTGGTGTGTCGAAGTAGAATACAGAAAATTTTTTCAAAGTTAAACTCTATACAGTTGTCTTAGAATTATTAACGGTGTAGTTTTACTAGACATGTAGGTACTATTTGTTTGGAAATTATATTTAAATAATTATTATAACACTTTAATTTATTAAAAGTCGATTAAACTAGGAAGTCTTAAATGAGAGTTGTATAAAGTGCAATGCAAAATAAAACGTTTTATCAAGTGTAGAAGACAAAATAAAAACTTAAAATATTACTGTCGACGAGTGTTAGACATTCGACTTGATTCGCTTATCTTTTTGCAAGTATCAGTATTACTAAGGTACATTGACATCAATCCACCTTGAGTGTTATATTATTTTTTTTTTTAAATGAAAGCATTATTAATAATAATTATCTTCGAAAAACGATTCTAAATGAAACTTGGTAAACTATTTAAGTATTTTTGTTCAAATGTTTATACTTTATGGGATTAAGTTTATTTGATTATTGTTGTCTATGCGCAACTGAAGAGTTTAAAGTTTAAAGTTTACTCTGTGTGCAGCTTTTGATAGATCCTAAATTCATTTTTTAGAGCATTTCTATGTAGGTATACTGTTTAAAGTATTTTTTGCTGTAAGTAAAAAAATTATTTTATAACTAGTCACCTTATTCACCGAATAATTTAAGAATTATTATTTTCTAAGAATACCAGTTTCACAAAAAAATAATATAGTATAATAATAATGAATAATGAAAAAAAACACGCATCGTTGTAAAACCAATATAATATTATTCATCGCTCTGTTCAGAATCTAAAAATAACGATAAAACGGTAAAATTGATGGTACAACAATGGAACAGTTTTATGAATGTTATGATTTATCATTGCTTTCAAATTTAAAAGAAAAGTTACACAATAGGTAGTAACGCATATACTTGCGCCGAGGTTATCGAGTGAACACACTATTACAAGCACTGTCCCGTTCATGCTTTTTTTTTTTTATGTCTCACGGTTAACCTAATTTCACGTGTAATATTTCGATCAAAATATGAATTTAAAACGAATTACATTGAAACGATAGATAACGCGGGGATGGCGAACACACAATACCGTTTTTAAGGAGTTCGATACAGGCAATATTATTACAAACGGGCGAGCGTGTGCGACTAAATGGTCTTCATTAGTGTGTGTTATATTCCGTCGTACCAGTACAACAGGGCACGCAACTAACATCGATACCGCTGGGTCGCAATCGCGAGTTTTTATTTTACCCGCTGAATAGACCCAATTTAATTCCGAAACTTATCGATCGAACTGACGTAATGTCATAGGAATTCGTTCTCGACGGATATCCATCCTAAAATTCTTCTTCTTCGATAGAGAGACAGAGAGACCGACTTTCCGGTTTTATTTTCGTATTCACGATATATTTTTTACGACCATCGGTTCAATCGATCGTTACATTTCGCGGACTTATGAAATCTGCAAGTGTATCGACATAATAATAATAATAATAATACACTGTAGTGTGTACATAAGTATTATGTTTTATTGTAACAGAAAAAAAAAAATGTCGAAAGTGGTTAAAGACGTTTCGGAGAAGACATGGTTAAGAATTCAAATATGTTTTCGAAACACTTCTCGTACCGTCACCGTCATCGTCATACAGATGAGACTGAAACGAAAATAAGGTCAAACTGTATAGCTATGTGGACTGAAGGCTTAAGTCGGGGAAAAAACTGTCCGTTTGCTAATCCTCTTATTATGTTAATAATGCAATTTGTAAAATATGTTCAAACGTTATTCTGTTTTAATCTTAAGAACACGCACAAAGACAATTGAATTAAAGTAACAATCGATTTGACAATATTCTAGGCACGACCGAAAGAGTTTGCATAATATCTGGATCAAGTTCTGAACACATAATGGCTGCACTCACATTTATTATGGAACGAATCCGGGAAAAACCAGATGCCTCAAATAGGGTCCAAAATTCCGGTGATGCAATCGCAGACCGAGAGAAACAGGTAAAACTTGTAACTTGTATACAACGTTATTATAGTTGGTACGGTGACGGAAATCATGATAAATAATTAATCGCGAACAAAAACGTATGCGCTCGGTGCAGACTATCGTATCTCTGCGGGTCAAAACGATAGTCAAAATATGATGATGAACTGTTAAAATTGTATTAAATTGAGTGTTTCGCGTGGTTTTAGGTGAAAATCCTGATACCCAACTCGACAGCTGGTATGATTATCGGCAAAGCCGGAGCGTACATCAAACAGCTGAAAGAAGACAGCGGGTGTTTTGTGCAGATATCGCAAAAAGCGAAAGACACAACACTCCAAGAACGGTGCATTACCGTGTCAGGTATGATATTATAATATAATAATATGCATATAGGTAACGTTTTGCACGTATAGTTAATGTTTTGCTCGTTTCATTCGCATCGCTGGTACAGATTGCTATAGTCCCATACGTAATGCATGTGTAACCATTGTTGTAAAGGACACTTTGAAAATGTATACCTTATACCTGTTCAAGACAGTGTATTCGTATACGTTTTCGTTTCGAGGTGGGTATATTCAAAATACTCATCGAAGTTACCAACGTGTTCAACGTTGGCCAATGTGCATGCCAGCTCAAATAGTTTTCAATTACAAAACCCAAAAATGGGGGTGAGCATGCTTAAAAAATCACCTCGTATACCTTTTTAATAACGACCTTATTGATATTGTTTATTTGTTTAATTCTTGAAGAGGTTAACGAAGTTACGGTAATACAATAATATATTATATTACAATCACGATCGAAAAAAAAATAATGCAAAAATGTCGTCGTCGGCGGGGTATCGAACCGCGGACGATTGTTACCAGTTGATAAAAAGCCTCTAGTTTCGCGTAGAACGGATTAAATAGCCATTATTTTTCGAAAATTCACTGTACAAAAATGTGAAAAAGAGACGTGGGCCCTTAATCTAACTCTCCAGCGGCACTTAAACCTCCTACTGCAGTTGCCATCAGAGGTTATATAGGCTTTCGGATAGCAAATTTAATTTCAACGCACTCTATATCGACGACGCCGTAGGACGTACAGGTGTGTTAGCTATTGTTTGTGTATTTAAGTACACGGTTTGTTTGTTCTTGCGCCACTGAATTTAAGTGATTTTCCGTAATATGAATCTATCATCCGTGATTATTTATTATCACAATATGATAATTAAAAACATATTATGATAGTATATAAATAATATAAACTAATCACTGAAATTAGGAATGTTTAAAAAATCCCCCTGCATACCTAATGCGGTTGGTAATGCAGGTGACCAAATTGATGGGCAAATATATTATTATACTGACGATTAGGGTTAGGATGCTTATGCACTAAAAAATGAATAAGTTCATTCAAATAATTCATTAAGAATACACTTCAGCACAACAAAGAATGCTACCTTATATGGTTGACAATTTGAAAAAAGCTGGTATGTGCAGATGTCGCTCTGCTGTACATTAGGTGTCTTGAAGGTTGCTGCAATGGATAGTATTAAATTTTTATTCAATGATGTAATATCGTTGTATACGAAAAACGATTCTGAGCGGAGACGGTATGACAGTCTAGGATATTTTATATTGTTATTACTTATTATTAACGAGGTAGCCGGTAAGTTGAATTAATATCATTCTTAAATTATCAGTGATGCAGGAAAAATATTATATATACTGAATATTATACTTATACGTCAAATTGGGCCGTTTTGGAACCGAATTACAAAAAAATGACTAAAATCGTTATGCTTATTGTGTTAATAAGTAATTTCGTATAAATTTGAACTTAAATTTAAAAAAGCTGTGTTTAAGTCTATTTTTAGTTTTTTTGGTGACAGAATTGACTACTTACGTAGTTATTGTATTGTCAATCCATAGCTATAAAAGTCGAACATTTAATCAACTTTTAACTACGAAATCATTTATCAATTTTTAATTTGAAAAATGTTGAACTTAAATTGATTAAAAAAAGTGCTATGTATTTTTAATATTTTTAAACTGATATTGTAGCAATGTATCAGGAGCCTTGTATTAAATTTTCACACTTTTTGAATCAACAAATACAATTTTTTATGAGTGTTTAAAAAATTATTGTTTACTTACGCTCAACATTTTTTTTAATTTTCACTAACAATATGAGGAACGTTGTACTTATTATATTTTCAAGTTTGTGACCTACCTAACATTTTTTTTATAGACATTTATCTAAAATCGTAAAAATAGTTCGACATGAGTCAAATTATTTTGAAAATTCCATGGTGCATAGAAAATTACTTATACCAGCACCCCAAACCGTGATGACACAAAAATTAAAAATTAAACTAATAAATAAATAAATAAAAATCACACATCATTGTAAGGTTAATACATAAGTCGCTCCGCTCAGAATCTAAAATTTAATTTAAATTTATATTTTGATATAAAATCACATGATTATTTCATATTATTTAGGTATTTAAAATACTTATCGAATTTTCTATGTTCAGTGTTGGAAAATGTGTATAGATATGTATATATATGTATTATGTATATATATATGTATTTATACTATTCATATAGTTTTCAAATACAAAACCAAATAATTTAATATAAATTTATCTTTTGATATAGTATTACATTATTATTTTATATTATTTTACAAATAAGTCATTTGACACAAGGCACTTTTTTTCAACAGTATTTTTACACTTGTCCGTCATTCTTGCCACAACAATATATTATGTTTGAAGTTAATTAATATTAATATTGATTCTGCTGAATTTCATATTTTATCGTTTTGACATTAAAAACAACAACTTTTTTCGATCGTTTACCGTATTAGGTCAACCTATTATTGTGTTCAATTAAAAGACGATTTGCGGAATTAACAAAAAAAAAAAAACGCTTTCCAATTCGATGTCAGGGTCATGTACACTTTCTGGATTTTTAATTTTTGGAAAACTCATAACTATACTATGTATACCTATATTTTATTACGAAAGGATTAAACAAAATTGTACCTTACAGTGCTCGAAATGGAAACTTTTCTGAACCAGAACGCATATTATTTTCTAACAAACAAAATTTCAGTGGTCTGTTTCTAAAATGTAAACCCTTTTTAATGTTTTAGTTTTACTATTCTTATGGAACTCACATCGTAATTTTTAGCTCTCTTAAAATGCTAAACGAATTTTTGCCTTTGCAGGTACTTAGTTCTTATCTATACATGTGTATTGTGTGTGTGTGTTTTATGATTGTACAACTTTTTAAAGGTCTGTAGTGAACAAACTATTAAAGATAAAGGTCTCGAACTCTTTAGGACTGCAATTCTCTCAGACAATGTGATTTTTACAACACACTAAACAACAAAACTCGCTCTCCAGTTTCGGAGATCTGCGTTCCTAAATAAAAATGTAGGTAAAATCGACAATTTTTTCAACTGTTAAAAAGTTCATTAATTTTAAAATTTCACGTTTAGTATCTACTTGAAAAACCCTTTTTTAATGAGATTTCGGCCAACTTTTTGGCTTTCATATAGAAAAGTTAAAAAATAGAGTATTCAGGGATGAGCACACTAACTTTTTCTAGAATAAAATCATTATATTATTGATTTTATATGATATCGGATCCATCTCATTAACTCATGTTAAATTTACCTCAATTACTCACCTATTCATTATTACTGAGTTAAATTTTTGAGTATTTTCCTATACCTACCATAAACGCTCGCAGTTTTCAAAATTCAGATTTTTTACGCGAATAATTACCATACTGGATAAGAAGTCAAGAAAGTAAAATAACATATCATATGAAACAAAATATCAGACCCGAGTATAAAAATTCAAACAATATAAAATACCTGCAGATTATAACTACCTATGCCTAATAGATTAAAAAAAAAAAATACAATTTAAATACACAATGGTAATAGTATTAAAAAAAAGTTGTTCGACACCAATAAAATTGTATTAAAAGACAACCCTTTTATACTAAAAGGTAAAATAGGTACGTTACAACACTGCAAGTATAGTATAGGTATATGATTAGTGTTGCAATTAAATAAATAAAAATGAATAGCTCAATGTAGCCCTACTGTCTCTACTGCAGAGTACTGCCTACATGTTGTATATGTTTTTATTTTTTTTTTTTTTTAACGGGTTATTATTTCGTTGCAGGTAACACGGAGGGAAACAAAAAAGTGTGCTCGTGCATATTGAACAAAATAATCGAAGATCCGTTGAGCGCGTCCTGTCCGAATTTAAGTTACGCCGACGTCAATGGCCCCGTGGCGAATTTCAATCCGACGGGATCTCCATACGCCCTGGCCACAACTAATTGCTGTATGTATTGTTATTTTACTGTGATTATTAATTATTAAAGTATAACTATTGCGTTCTCGTTATTTATCATGTACAAGGTGTAACAGATAGACTTGACCAAAAAAAAAAAATTATGCTACACAATTTTTTTAACATTATATGAGCAGTAAATAATTTAAGAAATATATATTCAAGTCAGAAAATTTCCTAACATATTTACATTTTGAAAAAAGTTTTTACTTTTCAAATGATAATTTAAACAAAAAAATATTGATATTTTAAAAAATTCTAAGAAATAAACTACTAGAGACACTAGACTTAGATAAATGTTTTTACCATCAAAATTGTTCTTATAATCAGATTCACAAATTGGCTATTTTGAACTTATTCAAAAAGAATGTAGTTAAATTTAAAATTGTTTATAATCAGTATTAAAAAATTACAATAATCTTATTAGTATTATACAAGTAGCGCAAGTGACTATATAAATTATATATAAAAAAAATTCAAAATATTGAATATAACCAGGGTTCGGATTTTATAGCATTTGCTACTTATTATAGGATAGAGATAAAAATAGCAGAGTGAACTATTAATTTGTTTTATGCACCAGGGACTCTAAATATGAAATTTTATTTTGCTATTTTTTTACATATTTGATGAATTTTAGAATTTTAAAGCTATTTTTAATGTTTTGGTGTTATGTTTTGCTAATATTCTTAATTCAACGCTTTATTTTATATTTTTCAGAAATCTCGTTTATATTGAATGAAAAATAGTATACATTTATGCGAATCAATAAGAAAAATCCCCTTGTCGAATATATTTATACATTTATACCTTCTTATCTGCCATTGTTCCACATAATTGTAGATTCTATAATATACCGTCGACTGTCGTACGTATTTCAGCGTCAGTCGGTTCTCCGTATCCTTTGATTTCGTTTCATATTCGTTCATTACTCGATTGTGTATTATTTGTTTTTCTGTTTCGATATTAAACGTAAAATGCCGAAACATAAAACATCGAACCATTCGAGACTTAGATATTTTGTGTCCGACTTTGGCGATGAGGGTTTTTCGGTTGACACAAGTATTCTGTTTCGCAAATTGTGTGAATGTAAGGTTAATAGTGACAAAAAGTTTAACGTTACTCAACTCTTAAAAACGGACAAACATTTGAAAACCATTAATCGAGAGCAAAATAAAATTGAAAAGAAACATCTGTTCATTCAGTTGCTTACAAATATTTCACAAAAATGTACTATTATAATTTATAACAAAAGTTATTGCATCAGTCAGTTCTTTCTGTTACACCCTGCATGTATGATTGCATCAAGAGTAATGCGTATAACACTGAAATCGCGTGAATTCTGTACGAGCCTCCCCAACTGCATCAAACCCACCGGGGTCAGATCTGTTGAAAAACCCCTTTCGCCGAGTACGAAATAAAGACTTATATATTATAATTAAATATACGTTTACTACTTATGCAATCGAATTATGATATTGAATTCCTTTAGTTTTTCGTCGATTCGTCGATTACGTCTTGTTCGAAAGACCATTGGGGTGTTTCTATGTGCACCTCCATTGGAACAAGACCGTTTAAAATTAAAAAAAAAAAAAAGGCAAGGTTGGATCAGACCTCCCGCACATACCTCCCCCGTCGTACACGCCCCTACTTAGACATGTGTACCGAATACCGTATTAGTGGTCATGTCGTCTAACCGTGTGTCCGTTGTATACGTTTCAGCCAACAACCAGACCAGTTACAACTTAAATGCCACGTCGTTATCCACGCAGGATGTCAGTAATGGTATATTCACGAACAAATTCTTAGACAACGTAAAGCCGTTATTGAGGTCCAGTGGATATCCTGAATCCGCAGTCAACGAAATAGCCGTCGCCTTTTTGACGTTAGCCAAGTAAGAGAAACATATTAATAAAATTTAATTACGCGTTTTTATTACCTACATGTGCGCAAACTCCCGTATACTTAAACGGAACGCATTTCGAATTTTTAAAACGTTCTAAGAATGTTTTTCATAGAATGTCATTTATTTATTCTGCTACATTAATTTTCTTAGAAAAAATCACTGTGAGTAATAAAAAATCAGTTGATTTTTTTGCAAAAATGTCGTCAGTATGCGCGTTTGTTAAGTAAAAAAAATTGAATTTGTTTTTTTGTTTTATTAAAATAGCAAAAATATTTTGAGAAAATTAATGGACTACATTTTATAGAATATAGATCATTCTGTGTAATTTGTTTTATAGCTAGGTAGGTAGTTCGGTTATTATTTATTTTATTATTATCATTATTAGTGAATTATATTGTTCCCATTATGATATCAGTAGGTATATATCACACCTCGTTATTATTCTCTAATATATATTCACAAAGTAATTTATAATGATTATTTGAGATTTATTTATTTTAAATATATTGAACTATGATCTCGGTTTGAGATTAATCTACCGCATTCTAATCAAATATTTTAATTAAATTATTATATTAATTATATTGACATAAAAATTGATCATTTAATTAAGGCACTATAATAATTATTAATATTTCCTTGCTGAAATACGTATTTGCCCCATATTGAATGATGTTTTGCTGTCAATGATAAAATGTGTAGTCCCTCATTGCCGAACGTCATTATTTATGCACATCAATTACATAATATAATATCATAAATAGGTATTGGTGGTATTCAGTACTTATTGTTAGTTTGAATAAAGAGGCCTTGAGTTCAGACATGTCACATGTGAACTATTTTCAAAGAATCCTTTGTGGAGTCAACCGTAGGACATAACATTTGACTTGAATATTCGCAAATGGATATTATTATTTATACCAACATGGATTTAAAATACTTCCACAATATTATACGATTTTGATGAAATAAATAAATAATGATAATAAACCTTGATCACAACGTCCATTTCTTACGATACAGGCAAGTTGATGCATAACTCTTGAAATAAGATGATTTAATGTAGCAAGTCAAATATGATAGTTTGCTAACATAACTAGCTTGAATAATGTATTAACTATAAATGTGTCATACGCGAGTGAAAACAACGAAAAATTGTTTAATTTTCATACAAATAATTTGGCGTTTTCATATTATGTATAGATATTGGATTTAGAATCGTTCAATATGTTTACTTAAAATAAATTAAGATTGACAGCTTCGAACCTAATAGGTGACTTAACTTTGAAATGTCAAATTTATCTATAAATTATTATGATATCTTCTCGAATTTAAAAGAAAAATAATAAATGGAGTTCAACTTATATATTATACACTCGCGTATTTTGTTTTATCATTTTATTAAATAATAATTATCAGTCCCGTTGTATTATAAAAATATATCCATAAGACTATATGCACATCATAAATTCTAAGAAAAACGAAGCATATTCATTCACGAGGAGTTTTTGTGATTGTTAAAATGAATAGAATTACATTTCGTACCATTCACAATAAATAACTCATTTTCATTTCAAAAGTCAGAGTAGTTAAAATACAATGGGTTTCAATTGTATACTTGTAATTTTGTAAAATAGAACTCGACGACCATTGTTTCATTGCCAAATGCCGAGTCACTTTAATATTTTTTGTTTATGTTTTTTTAACAATCTTTGTGTATATTATATCAGCAGTTAAAAAATGTATTGTACAGATAAGTTCACTTAAAAACAATGTTTTAACTTGCAAGAAAATCGGAATAATAGGGTTTTATTCAAATCGGGTAATTGCATTGCTAATTAACCGAAATCGCAATTAGATGAAACACGAATCATTGGTAGTTGACATCAAAGTATTATTACGTATCTAACAGTTTATATAAAACGAAAACACACCGCGGGCATCAAAATCGTTTTACACGTGTCACGTTAATATTTCGAAAAGCAATCTTGACGGCCTACCATTTATAATGCCGCCGCCAGATTTCATTCGTCGTCTAAGTCACACGAGAATGTAACTTCTCGGAAGTTACGGCATGTGTGCGATACACTCCGCGAACTTCGTTACGCTGCACGAGACGAAAAGCAGCACACACGTAATGATGTACATAATATATGATGCATATATAGGTATCTACAGTGATAATTAATGCACACGCGGTGTCCTGTCAACCGTGAAGTGTCGCGAAAACAAATTAAACTAGGTATATATACATTTATTTATAAATAAAAAATAATAAGTCAAACACGCGAGTGACAATATAACGCGCTGAATTCGAACGGCGGGCCGGGTGTAATCCGAATTCTCCCGTGTGGAATGCACTTGCCCTCGTGCGCGCAAAATATATTGGAGCGTTAGGTTTTCTAAAAATTTCCGAATTCCCGGAAAAAAAAACCGAAGGATATAAAACCCGATTGCGTATGCGATTTACCTTTTTGGAAACACGGCGATTGCTTATACACATTATATATATTAGGAATCGCTATGGCAAAGGAATGCCCTTAAATGCGACACGATTTCACAGTATAATATGCTTCGGGGCTGTAAAGTGTAATTTAATTATACAATTTTCATAATCACACCATCAGATTGCATGCTATACCGAGTCAGCATAAAAAACAACGCGCCACTTACGGCGTTAATGGTTAAAATTAAATAATTTTTGTATTGCAGTTTACTCCAAACAGTCTCATATTACTATAAACGTATTAATTTGGCGATTTGGCGTGTGCAACATTAAAATAGTACTTACGAAAGAAAAAAAATGTTATTTAATCATAAAAACGTTAAACGATTACGTAAATGTTTAGTATGATCGCACAACAATTATAAATTGATCGTATCTTGTATTAACCATTGTAAAATTTGTAAAATTTGTCGACATCGCCGAAAATAAAACGAATTCAACGTAAGCGCCCGGAATTGTGTTGTGACACAGCCGAGATAAGCACCGTGTACTCAATAGTATTTTTACCCGAAAATGTCATAATAGTTACGTCAACCGAATTCGTGCAGATTCCATGATTCGTTGTCGGGATACTGTGGTAGACCGATTTCCGGGGTCGAATTTGTTATACGATCTCTGTCGACGCGATTTATGATAGATTCACTCGTATTACAACCCTAATCATTATCGTCGTGGACAGCGGTAGACCCCAAATGGCGGCCGTCGGACAAACTATGCGTACAACTCTCCATCGAGAAGGTGTGATGTTTTGAATTTACTTTTATTTTTTTGATGGTGAATAGACTTTTTATCCGCTTTAATTTTGACTTGACTTTCGATTAACGTGCACGGGAAATTTCGACCCTTCCCCCAGAAAACTTCGTAAATTCTTAATTTCGACGTCCAAAACCATTAATTGGTGATGTCTGCAACAAGAGCGTATAAAGTAGCATATAACGTCATAATCCAAGTACGATATGTATAGTAGACGTCGCGCGTCGTCGGTTAACACGTCATGTTGGTTAATGCGCACAAAATCGTAAGTCTCGCGGTTGCATTTTTACGTTTTTTATCTAGTGTTTTGTACAATCTATATCGGTCAATGCGCAAACTAATTCTCGCGGTTACTTTGATATCGTATTAATCAATTTCTACTGTGTTTGTATATAACATTATCAAATATCGTAAGCCAGTTAGAGACGTGCGGGAATTCATATATAATATTATAACACAAAACTATCGTTGTCAAAAGTTAGCCCGTCAAAAAAATTGTAGCAGTTCACACGCGTTATATCTCAAAGACATTTTTTCAATACAAAATTATAAATAGGGGTAAACATTTATATTTATTTTCTCACTAGCAGTATAACCCGTTTTTGTTTGGGAAAAAAATAAACCAATATAAAATAAAGAGCTATATCGGTGTACCTAGGTCCTTATAGTGTTTGCACGTACATCGGTTCACGGGCAAATCGGAATCGGCGTAAAGTCCATGTCGCTGGCATCCATCCATTTCGAATTTGGGTCCAAACCGGAGAAGATCGTATGTGCTTCGTTAGTATACCCGGTAGTGCTTTTCGCCCCATCGTTAGTGCTCTATCCTTTCCAAAGTTATTCGCATTTCGTGCAGGGGCTGCTAGGGACGTGCAAACACTACCATTTCGAATTTTCGATCCAAACCCGGTACTAACGAAGCAAAAAAGATCACCCAGAGGTTGGACCTGAAATTCAAAATGGTGAGGGGGGCAGCGACATGGACGTATCGGTGTACCGCGGTTTGTGCACTAATTTGACCAAGATGCGCCATTCGCTACAGGATTGAATACAGCACTTAGCATATTCTCGAACGCGGTTGAAACTACTCCTTAATTTTCTCGATATCCCCAAAAGTCAAAACCAATCAATGCATTTTTCGTCAAAATTGGTCCAGTAGCCTTTGAGTCTTAAATAAGCTACAAACATAGGAACATTGCCTCTTTTTGTACGTTTAAATGACAAACAAATAGTAAAATATTATTTTCTTTTAACCGTTTTTTTTTTTTTTTTTGTAACCACTGTCAACCGTAAACGTTAAATTGTTTTTTTAAAACAATTGTTGGCTTTAGTGATTCAAAATGAAATTCGTGTGTGGACCACTCTATACCAACCTATAGGGGTTGAAAAACTAAGCAAAGAACACTCCCCCAGTCTCGAGGGATATATGGGTATAATTTGGTACAATTGGTTCAGTATAGTTTCCAAGGCTTGTTAGCCCCATACAAACGTTTATTCATTTTTATATATACATATAGGGATACCTATGTATTTTTACTTGTCCAACAATTTCATTGGTCATTACTCATTGTAGGAAATGTCTGACATAACGAGCAGCCGTGGTTTTTTGTAAAAAGAACACTGTGCACCAATACATTTTATGCAGCGACTAAGTAGCTCTCAGACAATGTATGACTTTAATAATGACGTATATAGTCCAAATATTTGATGGGGCTTATGTTCAAGCCGACACCGGACGATTTTGTAATGATCTTGGCCAACTATGACTCGTTGTTGGATAGGTCCCGTCGAGCATCTGTCGTTATGGTCACGCTGTGGTCAAAACCACCGCCCTTAATTAATATAATAATCCTGGTCCTTAAAATTAATTAAATACGATTGGAAATTTATTTCTAATTTCGTTTACGAGATAAAATTAAGGTCGAGTTTGATGAAAGTCAGCCCATGAATCATAATATTGCTGTCATATCGTCTTGCAGTAGGAATGCGACGGTTATCACGTCTGTAAAATTCGACCACCTTAAATTAATTGACTATCATTTTTTTCTTCACATTAGGTCTTGTAAATGTTATCTTTAATATTGATATGGTATTAATAGAACTTACAATTATCAATAAACAAATCTTTTACTAATTATCCAACCTAATTACCGGAAATTAATGCAACGTGAATTATTATTAGACTTCTACACATATTATTATTGTTGTTTGGATGCTCCTTCGTTTACGTTCACTGCAAAAAAAAAAAACTACTGTACATTGTTTGTGCATATTTTGTGAGAAAATCAAAAATTATTCTTCGACATACCACTGTATTATTTTGGCATTTAGCAGGGGGGGGGGAGGTCGTCCATCACTGACTGCAATGTACTCAATCGTATTTTTTTTTCATGTTCTCCGCAGGCACAACGTACTTAGCCCGAACAGCATAATCGGACTGATTAACCAGACCAGCATCCTGCAACCGGCCCCGTCGGTGGCCCACCACAACGGCACTGGACTCCTGAGCACGGTGACAAACGACCTGTTCGATCTGGGCCTGGCTGGCGGCGCCATATCCATCAACGCGATCCTGTCGCAGAACGCGGCCAGCCCGACGCTGTCCAACGCAAACTCTTACGGGCTGGGCGTAGCGGCAGCGGCGGCGGCCGCGGCCGCAGCCGCGTCCACGCCCAAGGCGATGGGGCCGACGACGAACGCGGCGGCCGCAGCGGCTGCGGCTGCCGCGGCCGCCTTGTACGAGATGACCGCCGACGACCAGCAGTCCGTCAAGCGGGAGATGGACGTACCCGAGTCAATCGTGGGCGCCATCATCGGCCCCGGCGGCCGGTCACTGGTCGAGATCCAGCAGATGAGCGGTGTCACCATTCACATATCCAAGAAGGGCGTGTACGCGCCGGGCACCACCAACCGGAAGGTGACCATATGTGGGTCGGCCAGTGGCATAGCGATGGCCAACTACCTGATGCAGCAGAGGATCGTCGACGAGGAGACCAAGCGGGCCCGCGCCTTCTGAGCCGCATGACGCGTCCGCGTCCGTTTTGCATATTATATAGTCTAAGTATTACAATAACTCGCCTTCTACGTAATTTTCATATTCATATATTATTATTCATATTATTATTATTCATATTATTATTATTATTATTATTATTTGTACTGTTGCTTCTTCCTCGACCCATCCACAACACCACCATCCATTATTACCTACCCCCCTTCCCACCCACTAACTTACATCACCCCTCACCGTGTGTGTGTGTGTGTGTGTGTGTGTGTGTGTGTGTGTGTGTGTGTGTTGTGTACATTATAATAATATATTATTAAACGGTAAACGGGTGGGCGTTTTGCTGTGGAAGAGTTCTTTATTTCGGTCGTTTCGATCATTATTGTTTTGAATTTTAAATTTTAAATTATCAACGCAAATAGTCCGAGATTCGAGCGGACGTCGAAAAATTAGCGACGGGATTCACTTGCCACAGTCATATTATAATTATTGATTCGTAAAAAGGTATAATATTTTATTATATATACATTCATTGTTCATGTGTGCCTTATATACAAAAAACATTATATCCCATCATACATTATTACGCCTGTACAGTACAGGTACAAACGACCTTCGAATGTTTTGTTTTTCCATAGTATAATGATTACTATTAATTTGTGTATAAAATAATGAAAATAAAAAACTGTTATGGTCTGTTTGTTTCATTAGACAGCGGCAACGACCATATTATATAATTTAATGTTAGAACAAAAGTATGGGTACTGAACCATGGATAAATTAATTGATTAGGTAGGTACACAATTATTATATTGATTGTTATTATTATTATTATTATTATTATTATTATTATTATCATTATCATCATTAGAATGTGTTAGGTGGTTTTTCGTAGGGGTCGTATATAGCTTACGTTTAATGTTGAATACGCTAGCAGATTTAATAAGTGGACCAAAAGTGGATAAAATTTAACGTGTTCGGTTGCCGAAATGAATACGTTTTTCACTGGGAAACGTTATGAGCAGGGGCGGAAAAACGTTTTGGGGGTCGAAACGTTTCTAATAAGTTATATTTTACGGTTTCCATTTTCGTACACCTTTTCGAACGGCGCCGAGTATTTTATCAACATTGTAAATATCACACGAAATTATTTATTTTTGAAACGACATCGTTCAGCCCACCCCCCCCCCTCCCCCGTTCAAAAAACTGTTTTTGTATACAATATCTGCGGGTGCGTCGTATACACGAGTAATAATAATCATTGTATTCATAAATAAATCCTATTTTAGAGTTCAGCCCGTTGGAGTTTGTCGAGCTTGCAATGAGCGGCGTGTAAGACTGAGTCGGTAAAATACAACAATATACCAACTAATGAGCACAACTAATAATGTATAAACATAGTTTTACTACGTTCGTCCGTGCATTTTCCTCTGATTATTATTTTAGCCATACATACCTCTTCGTCCCTTCGAAAACATATGTGCAGAAATAAGAGGACTTGCGTAAGTGATATACGTTTTTTTTCTGAACAGGGTATAATATATTCTCGGGACGGCTCAATAGTCATTCATATTTAAAATACACGAGTCATATAAAAATGTATTTAATTGTATGACGTTTTCGAGGAGGGGGGGGGCTCCCAGTAAACCAATCAGTAAAAGCACTTATACCATGTAGGTGTATGTACATATAATACATGAATCTTTCTAATATAATGAATTTTCATGTTTTGTTTTTGCTTTCGTTTCTTCGCATAATAATTATAATATTACCATCGAGGCATCGACAAGTCGTCCCCAACACAATCCATGTTTATTCAGCTTATTGGAGAAAAAAAATATTTTTATTGTTTGAAAGTAATATTTGCTCAACAGATCCCAACAAGTCGTATAGTTAATGATTGCCGTAAGTCCGTAAACCAATACTCAATATTCTATTCATCAGATCCGTGGTCCGAGTAAACGGTTATAAGATTTGATTCATTTTTTCTTTTCTTTTTTTTTTTACGGAATAATGTGATATAATAGTTATGTTTTTAAATTATTGGTGTTAAATGCATTGGTGCTTTTTAATTATTATTCGTACAATCGTACATATAAATATATTTCATACGTATAGGGTGGTAGAACTGTACTATACATCAAATATTATTTCAGCATGAAGTGCATATACAGTATATTATGTTATATTAGGTAGGTACTAATACTAAGTAATATTATTGCCATAATAATATGCATAAGACAACTTACACATTTTGTCTCCATATTCTAGTAGATACTTTTCGATTTTTGGTGACAAATGATCTGGTGGTTTCACACACTATATAATACACTATTTTTGGATGTCTGAATAGAGTTATACTATATTATATTGCATTTTAATCAGTTCATTTACGTGTGTGTATTTATAGAAAACTTTTCATAAACCTTTAGTCTAAAATCCGTCCCGAAATAACCGTTGTTTAATGGTCAATAACTATTTTATCATCATTAATTTTTTATTTTATGGACTAGCTAGTGTAAATTATCATCGGGTAACATACTTGCCATCGTCCAAAATGAAAAAATAAAATAATAACAATAATATTGGTTATGAACTCGATCTCAGCGACATTAAAAATAATTGCTCGATCCGAGTACCAAAACTCAAAATATAGTAAAATTGTTTGATGTATACCCCTTTTTAGAATTATATTTAATAATAATTAAAACTGAACGTATACCTAAGTATATGTGGCCTCGTTATTATATTATACTTCCATGTATTAAGGTTAGTGATATTAACAAAGAATAATTAACGTCGGTTGTTAAACTCAGGATTAGGAGTTTTAATTTTAATATTATAATGGGGATTTTTAGTAAAAAAAATAGAAAGTACGATTAACGTTATATTTATATTTATATATAGAGCTATGATAGAAGCCACATAATGAGTTCAAATACAGGATAATATTTTCGAAATAGTATGATGTATAAAATTAATTATTTATGAACATATAGTTTTAACATACAATGTCTATTGAAATGTATCTTCGTAGAAGTGTTTTAATGTTAAAATATAATAAAAACCAATCGGTGACTTTTAACAATTAAATTAAATGATAATTTTAAAAATATTATGTTTTGATTTTGTCATTACACAGTATTTCGGCAATCAATGGAAAAAATAAAACAGATTTAAATTATTTTACCGTTAAACGAACATATCACACATTAGATAAATATATATATTGTATATTATGTGAATGTATACACATGACGATGCACATGGATATACGTGACAGTGATATACTTTACCATTTTCACAACCTTGTGATTTTTTTTTTTTTGTTATACTTTATTGTTTATTTATACTTACCATTCATTATTCATTATATCATTCCATAACTCATTTTCACACGTTTAAAACAAAGAAAATGTGATATTTAAATTTAATGAACTGTATAATTTTTATTGTATACATTGTTTATCCTAAATAATATATTATGTAGGCTATAAGTAGCTGCTAAAAAATTCAAAGCTAAAACACTCCTACATAAAAACGACATTAAGATCTTTACTCAGTATAATTTAAGGTGTAACTTTATAATTGTTTTATCTTTTAAGTTTTTATTAAAGGGAAATTATTATGTCCAAGATAAATGGAATTGGTACAGAAATAAAAATGCATTTTGTTGTTACGGTAAATGTTGTATTTTATTTCCCGACAACGTCCTATATTGATACGTCCGCTGCTGTTTTTCGGGCTGAAATTAACATTCCTTAAAATTAACAACTGTAAACATTTTTCTGCGAAGAAATTAATAATTTCCATTCAGAAGTAGATGGCGGCCTACCTATATTTTATTCTGTATTCATTAGTACATGAATTATGAATGATGCGACTCGCATCTCCGTATTACGTAAGTACCTAACTTATCTATGTAAATAAGCTATTATTAAAATAAACCGACTATAAAGATTATTTTGGGTTTTGGTAAAAAGTATACATTATGAGGAAAACAACATTTTTCTCTAATTAAAAACAGTTTGGGTGATAGATCGTTTTTAATAAGAGATAACTGGAAATATAAAATGGACAAGTACCTACTTTAAAAACAAACTTCCTCCTCCTAAATCACGAGTCCGGTATCATTGCAGCGCATCTGCCCGGGTCCGACATATTCGCAATAAGGATAACTTGTTTTATAGTTAGTGTTTTTACTTGGACAAGCTGGCGCCCACACTTCGGCCCTTGGATGGATTTCGAAGAACACATCAACAGAAAACTTCGGTGAGGACTTTATTCAGAGTGTTGATCCATATTTAATTATTATAAAGGTTGAGTAAGTACCTATATCTGTTCTTGCGGCGAAATGGTAAATCGTTCGCAAAACGACAATATTATTTTCGACGTTATTTTTTTACGTGACGAACATAATTTCTGGTCACTACGGTGAATAAAAACGCACATCAATATTTCAGTACTATAGGGATTTGTGTGCAATGCACAATCATTATTGTCTTACAACATTTCGGCGGTGGCCTGGGACTTGTGAACGTATTTGGTTTGTGTAGAACCCCTAATGTGATTTCGTCGAAAGTCCCTCCCATTTTCGTATCGCTACGTCTGTTTTGTATGTGTTTTTTTTTTTTTTAAATAACAGTTAAAATAAAGAGAAAGAAAGATAAAAAAAAAAACTATTTCCACTCAATATGTGTTCAAATATGTTTAAAATGAACACTGCGCCGTTTCTCGTTTAAGTATCGCTCGATATAAATATAGTGTAGGTACACACATCGTTTACTGATTTGCACAATTTCGTGCGCATATAGGTACCTATGCTCGGGTTGTATTATTGTGTCATGTGACGACACCGTTGCTTATCGAAAAACACAACGCAATATTATATAATGTCATGTCTCGATAGTGTATGGGTTGAAAAAGTACGGTCGCTGTGGTATTAAAATATAAACTCGGTGGGAACCTAACCCGCAGTGACCCGTGCGCTCGTATTGCCCGACCAGAAGTGTAGGCACGTCGACGGGGGTGAGTGTAATGTGTTTTAACCTATACGCGAAACGGTCCAACAACCGAGCAGGCCGCATTTGCAGTACGGGGGCACGTCATGACCTATCTGTGTGGCGTTTTCAGTGAATCGTGTGAACCACACCTATTGATTTTTCGAATTACAAACAAATAAAATTGAATATTATCGTTATTAAAATGCGCTCCGTGTGACGACGACGACGTTTAGAAGACGACTGCGTTACGATATTGTGATTTGTAAATCGGTAAACGAGTGGTAAAAAAAAAAAGCGGGTAAGTGGATGTCGCTCTGCTGTACAGTAGGTTACAAGTGGGTCACTGTATAATGGATGGAATTAAATTTGAATTCAATGATACAATATCGTTGTTTAAGAAAAACGATTCTGAGTGGAGACGGTATGTCAGTCTTGGTTTAAGACATATTAATACCAATATATCTAAGTCAAAATTCGAATTTTAAATGCTTATAAAAAAAAATTGTGCCTATGTATTTTAAATATTTTACAATTATTGCTATTGTAAAAATATATCAGGAGCCTTGTATTAAATTTTCAAGCTTTTTCGCCCAACAAATAAAATTTTATTGGTATTTATAGAAAAAAAACCAAGAAAATTGAAAATTGACAATGTCCGTAAACATCTCAAAAAGAGTCAAATTATTTTCAAAATGTTATCGTGTTTGGAAAATGCTAATATCAACATTCAGTGAAATTTTCAAGTATCTACAGCCATTCGTTTTTTAATTACAACAAAAACAGAAAATCGTTACATGAGAAATCGAGTGAATATCAAATGTTGTAAAAATATGAATTTCAAACGCTCATAAAATTTTAATTTGACTTTCTTCTAAACATTTTTTTTTTGATAAAGGTAGACAAACTTATGAGGAATCTTGTATTAAATTTTAAAATCTTAGTTTTAAAAACAAAATTTTTTATGAATTTCTAACTTAAAATAATTTCCAAATTTTCGTCGTTTTTACGTATTTTGTCAATATTTGAACTTTAAATGCTTATAAAAAAAAACTGTGACTAAGGATTTTTAATTTTTTTCATCTGCCTTTCAAACAATATACTAGGAGCCTTGCATTAAATTTTCAAGTTTTTTTAACCAACAAATGAAATTTTATTGATATTTATAGAAAAAAAAAATTTTAAAAATTGAAAACTGACAATGTTCGTAAACAGTTTAAAAAGAGTCAAATTATTTTCAAAATTTTACCGTGTATAGAAAATGCAAATATACACAACCTGTGAACATTTCATATATCTACGGCCATTTGTTTTAGAGTTACACCAAAAACCAAAATCGATTTTGTTAAAAATCGATTTTGCGTAAAAATTCCCGTTTTTCCTTAATTTTTCTTTTGTTTTTCACGTCGCTTTTGAAAACTTCTGGGAAATTTTTACTTTTGACCCCCCAAAGTACCAACTAAATTCATTTTCCAATCAGAAAAGTTGCTGTTGAAGAAAATCGAAGCAGTTTTACTGTCCTAAAAGGTGATGACAGACACAAAAAAAATTTTTTAAAAATAAACAAAAAAAAAAACACACATCATTGTAAAATCAATACATTCATCGTTCCACTCAGAATCTAAAATGGTAAAATTATATTATATTATTATTTTCGTCTCGTACTGATAATACACGACAACTGCGTTGAGTGCGAATAATAATTTATTCCTGCCCGAAGGGCATATTGACCGACTGCAGAAAACGTTGTCCGCCCGTGCGTGTGTGTACCTATAGGGGATAATTAGGAACGTATGGACGATTTTTACCTGCCATGTATACATGTCTGGGGAGGGAAGTTGCATTCACCCTTAATGATTGTCCGCTATACGCACACGAGCGCATCGGTCGAATGTTTATAAAGTTCTCACGAGTGCAGCCGGTTAAAATCGCCCAGAGGTTATGTATGCGTGTAGGATTCTGCACTAAAAAAAATACACCTGTATACGTACAATATGGTTTCCGCGATGTTAATGAGAAGAAAACTCGAGCGTGTTATTTCTCAAAACTGCACTCCTATACCCACCGAAAATTTCCATATTACGAATTTCCTTCCCGATTCGTTCGGACTTGAGAATGACTGTATACGACTCGAATGCGGTCGTTGCGATGTTGAATTATATAATATGTTGCAGGTTTTGTGCTGCTCGAA